TACCCAAGGAAACTTAGGTCACTTTGCTCTATGATCTAATTATAATTTGTTTGAGTTTGTATCTGGCTTAATCTATTAAAGGCTGAAACTTTAAGCTTTTAGACCTCAAAAGAGATTTTGTACCATCATAAAGCCAGTATATTTTAAGGATCATGCAGTTAATTAAACTGCCTCCACTTCTTTCCTAGTTTATATATTTTATTTTAAAAATTACAGTGGAGGTCTGATAGAGCCTGGTGGAACCACTGAGACTATGGTCCCTAGCTGCCCTTCAGATCTGGAATTGAACCCACACCTGTGGCTTCCAGCCAAACAAAAGACAGGCATATGAGTTGAACATGTAAATACACTCCTTGGAGAGAACAATCAAGGGACTACAAATTGTAGTCAATGTCATAAGACAACGTGTGTGTGAACTGCTGTATGGAAAGTGAATTTGCTCTGTAAACTTTCCCAAATCACAACTAATAAAAAAATATATTGAAGCTGAGTTAAGGCAGTCCATGGAGCTCTGGTAGCATAGTGCTAGTTAGTAGCACCTGACTGCTAACCAGAAGGCTGGCAGTTCAAAGCAACTAGCTACTCCTCGGAAGGAAGGTTGGGCAATCTACTTCCATAGCCATACTGTGTCAGAAACCCAAGGAGGGGTTGCCATGAGTCAGATATGACACAAGGGAAGTGAGTTTCATTTTGGTTTTAGTAAGGTCATCCATCGTATTTATATATGATCAAATTTATACCTGTATTTTCACTCTATTACTTCTTATTGCAATTCCTAAAACTCTTACATGAAAGTATTTTATTTATAGTCAATCGTCAATTTTTCCTCATTATCATTTTCATTATTCCTAAGTCTCATTACTGTACCTATATACTGTTTTCCTGCTAGTTTTCTGAAATTCCAAGAGGTCCTATCTACATAATTTTTTCACAAATTGAGTTGATGTTGGTTTTTTCATACCTACATATTCTATTGATAATAAAGATTACAATATTTTTTAAGAATACTTTTTAAAAAAGATTACAATACCTTTTAAGCATTCATCTTTCCAAATCTAATATTAGACTGGTTTTATATTAAGAAGCAATATAGTGTGGCTTGCAGAGTACAGATAACTAAAACCTGTAAAACCAAAACTAAACTCACTGCTGTCGAGTCAAACCAAACTCTTAGCAACCCCTGCCTTGGGTTTCTGAGGCAGTATTACTACAGAAGCAGATTGCCCAACCTTCCTTCCGAGGAGTGGCTGATGAGCGTGAACCGCCAACCTTCTGGTTAAGCAGTCAAATGCCTTAGGCACTATGCTATCAGAGTTCCTAAAACCTATAAGGAGTATTAAAAAGAGCTTTAGTGGCACAGTGGTAAAGTGCTCGGGTGCTAACTGAAAGGTTGGAAATACAGTCTACTCTGTGGGAGAAATGTGTGACAGCCTTGGAAACTAAGGGGTTCTACCTTTTCCTGTAGTGTCTCTGGAGTCATAATCAACTCAGTGACAATAGTTTGGTTTCTTTGTTTAAATAAGCAAAATTAAATTCCCTTAAAAAAAAATAAAGCAGGCGCTCTTCTTTTCCAACCTGGTCGCAACGCTATGGCTCCAGCAAAGAAGGGTGGGGAGAAGAAGAAGGGCCGTTCAGCTATCAACAAAGTAGTGACCAGAGAGTACACCATCAACATTCACAAGCGCATCCATGGAGTAGGCTTCAAGAAGCGTGCCCCTTGGGCACTCAAGGAGATCTGGAAATTTGCTATAAAAGAGATGGGAACACCAGATGTGCGCAATGACACCAGGCTCAACAAAGCTGTCTGGGGGCCAAAGGAATAAGAAATGTCCCATACCGCATCCATGTACAGTTGTCAAGAAAACGTAATGAGGATAAAGATTCACCAAACAAGCTCTACACATTGGTTACCTACGTACCTGTAACCATTTTCAAAAACCTACAGATGGTCAACGTGGATGAAAACTAACAGCTGATTATCAAATAAAGTTTTAAAACTGCAAAATAAAAAAATAAATAAAGCAAACTCAATTATTCATTTCATTCATCTCTATTGTTGATGGGCTTAAAAATAAAATTACTTGAGACTAGAATGTACCCTGCAGTATTAAACTGCAAATGGAGGGAAGAATTTTAATAATTATACTACAGTACATTAAAAGACTGGCCTTTTTTATTCTTAGAAAATACACACTCATATACTCAAGGGTAAAGATAAAAAAATACATACATGTAAAGACTAAGAGTACCTGGGTGGTAAAATCTCCAGTAGTAAACATAAAAGCTGGTGGCTTCAACCCACCCAGAGGTGCTTCGGAAGGAAGGGCTAACAACCTACTTCTGAGAGGTCAGAGCCACTGAAAACCCTATGGAATACATGCCTATTCTGTACACATGGCGTTGCTATGAGTCAGAATCAGCTTTATAGCAACTGGTTTTGTTTATTTTGTTTTTGTTTTGTAAGCAAGAAAGTAACAAATTAGCAAATGGGGCAAAATGTTAACAATTGGTGAATGTGGGTGCAAAAACGGCAAGGAGGCCACATGTTCTGACCTCAAGAGGAAGACAGGATTACCAGCAGTAACCCAAGGCCTATTCCTAAAGGCCAGACATGCTGCCTCCCTCCAGCCCTTTCTCCAACCGTTCCTCCCAAAGCACCACCACCTCTCTCCTAAATTTGATAATTCGCTGCAGTGGCCACACAGAACTCACAGGTTATGAGATTTATTAGGGAAGCACCAGACTACAATTCAAGTTCAGGAAAAATGCTCAGTCTCTCCCCCCAGCCCACCGTCTCTCAGCCAAAAGTCTCCCACAGTCTCTCTCCCAACAGTGCATGCCCCTTGGTGTCTCACTCAGCAATGCGTGTCTCTTGAGTCTCTTTCCCAGCAGTGCGTGTCTCTTCCAGCAGTACGTGTCTCCTGTAGCAGCACGTCTCTCGCAGGAGCGCGTCCTTCCTCAGCCAGCAGTCAAGACAGAGTTCTGCCTCTAGGAGGCCTCCTTTTGAGCCCGGCAGGGTGGTCAAACTAGCCAATCATAGCATCAGAACTCTAAGCACCTGAGAGAGAGTGGGCACCTCCCAGAACATTGTTTTGTGCCACTCCCAACAGAAATACTCCA